CCAGCTGTACTCGGTTTCTTCTCAGCTTCTTCCCTCCAACATTTACTTCGTATGACCTTTCACCGACTTTCGCAGCCACGACTCCTTTTCTCCACCGCTCCTGTCCATCGGGAATTGGTTCAACCCATACTTCTTCCCCCACTGTCAGCTCAGGTAATTCCCGTGCGCCGTTGTCGTAGTACCGTTTCTGAGTAGCCATTCGCCTTTTCAAACTGTTCTGTACTTTCTCAAGTTGTGGCGTGACAGGGCGCAGAAGTGTTGCGGATGCAGGCATCACAGTTCTGGTCCTTCGACTGTATAGGCGCTGCACTGGGCTCAGGCCGATATCCGTTGAAGGAGTGTTGCGACTCTCCAGTAGCATGAGGTATGGGTCCTCCCGAGTATCTCTAGCCTTCGCTAATAGTCGCTTGGCTTGCTTCACTGCCGACTCTGCCTTCCCATTTGATTGACTGTGATAGGGACTGGTTTGCCGGTGTGCGAATTCCCATTTGGTTGCGAAAGCCTGGAATGCCCTGCTGCTGAACTGGGGACCGTTGTCCGAGACTAGCTCCTCCGGTATCCCGTGCCGTGCGAATTGACATCTGAGTTTGTTGATTACTGCCTCCGTGGTCGTGGTGGTGAGTAAATCGATTTCAAAGTAATCACTATAGTAGTCCACCGTGAGTAAGTAATCCTTTCCGTTGTCCCAGAATAGATCCACTGCTACCTTTTGCCACGGTCGGTCCGGAACATCATGCAGCATCATCGGTTCCTTCGTTTGCCGAATGTCGTGTGAACGGCACGCCTCACAGTTAGACACATGATCCTTGATCTGACCTGTCATTCCTGGCCAGAACATCAGTTCTCTTGCTCGATTAATGGTGTAATTTGCACCCAGGTGAGCGCGATGGACATGCTCCAGCATCTCCTTTCGGAGAGAAGAAGGGATTAGGATTCGACTTCCCTTGAACAACAGACCGTCACAGACAGTGAGTTCGTCCCGAAAATTGAAGTAGGGTGTTAATTCCTTCGGGAGCTGCTTCTTTGTTTCTGGCCACCCATTGAGGATAACGTCTCGCAAAGCTGCAAAAGTTTGGTCTTCCTCCGTGAAACGCCTTATGTCTTTCAAACGGTTTTCTGTCACTGCCAGATGCTGCACCATGCTAACTGTCTCGATCTCTTCTAGATGATGTTCGGCCACTGGCGGATGTGCTCTCGACAGGGTGTCCGCGATGAACATCTGTGTGCCAGGTGTGTACACAATGTCAATGTCATACTTCTGGAGCCGGATAAGCATACGCTGCAGACGGCGAGGAACGTTATTCAGTGGTTTAGTGGCTATCGACACCAGCGGCTTATGATCAGTGTACACGGTTGTCTTTCTTCCAAAAGTATAATCATTGAAACGCTCCATGGCATAGACCACTGCCAGCATCTCTTTCTCGATCTGTGCGTACCGCTTCTCGGCCTCTGTGAGTGCTCGACTGCGGAAATCCAAAGGTCTTCCGTTCTGCAACAGAACAGCACCTATTCCACTCTGGCTACTATCACACTGTACCTCCAATGGTTGTGCTGGATCGTAATATCCGAGTACGGGCGCATTACTGATAAGGTTCTTAATGGTTGCGAAAGCCAAATCCTGTTCCTTCCCCCAGCTCCAATTTACTCCTTTGTGAGTTAACTGCCTAATCGGAGTCATGACATCAGCGAGTCCTGGTAGGAACCGGCTTAAATAATTCACCATACCGTTTAGGCGATGGACTGCCTTCACATCGTTAGGGGACGGCATCTCTTGTATCGCCTTAATCTTCCCTGGGTCAACCCTGATTCCGTCGGATGTTAACACATGCCCATGGAAAATCACCTCCTCTTTCCGCAGCTCTACTTTCTCGCGTTTTAGCTTGATGTTCTTTTGCACGCAACGCCTCAGGAACCGGTGTAGCTTAGTGTCATGCTCTTCTTCGGTAGAACCGTAAATCAGAACGTCATCTGCCACACAGGTTACGCCATCTAAATCATCTATTGCTTGCACCAAACGCTTTTGGAAAATTTCGCTAGACACCTTCAGGCCAAACGGTAATCGCAGCCAACGATAACGTCCGAACGGTGTAGCAAATGTGGTGAGGAAACTGGATTCGTCGTCTAGAACAACGTGCCAGAATGCGGAAGAAAGGTCTACTTTCGTGAAAAACTTAGCTTTTGTCAAACGTGGTAAAACATCTTCTAACGTCGGTAGCGCATAATGTTCTCTACGCAGGGCCTCATTCAGTGGCTTCGGGTCTATACATACGCGTAGTTCGCCATTTTTCTTCGTAATGATTGCGACCTGGCTAACCCAGTCTGTTGGCTCATCAACCTTTGCAATCACACCCTGCATAACCAGCTTGTTCAATTCCGCGGAAAATCGGTCACGTAGCGCAAATGGGACTCTCCTAGCAGGTAACGCAATCGGGCGTACCAAAGGATCTAACGACAGGTGAGCGGTACCCTCAAATTCCCCTAAACCCGGGCTAAACACAGACGGATACAGGTCACTAACATCGGCTTCACTCTGACAAGCGTACACAAAACGATCATGGTTAAAAATGACAAAGCCAAGAGATAAAATCGAATCAATGCCGAGAATCGGCGTGAGATCCTCATCCACGATCACGAACTGCAGACGATGCGAAACACCGTCTCTCGGATTGACCACTTCAATTGTCGCTGAGCCCTTTGGCTTGAGTCTGGAACCATTCCACATGCGCAAATAATCTTGATCCGATTGAATTTGCACGCCGCGGCAGTGCTTTCTGGGCAAAATATTGATCGTCGCGCCTGTGTCTAACTGGAATCGCACAGACCGTCCCTCGATCAGAAGACTTGCATAGACACACTTCTGCGACGCTTTCCGAGACACGTTACCAATCGATTGTTCGGTGTCTTCTGTTGATTTGTCTGGAACGAGTGCACTGACATCTGTCGACTGACAGCAGCGGGCGAAGTGATTGCGCTTCCCACATTTGACACAAATGCGGCCCCACGCCGGACACTGTTCGCGGTTCCTCGGATGTCGTGTTGCACAGAAGTTGCAGGGCTCCTGTCGCGCGGTCGTGGCCCTCGTAGTTTTGCTCCTGGAAACGGCGCACAACTCTGAATCACCTGTGATTGTCATCTGCTGGAACTGATAGGCAGTGGAGGACTCACTGTTACAGATGTCGATACATTGCTGCAGAGATAGGTTGCGCTTTCGTAATAGTCGCTTCGTCAAACCTTCGTCATTGATCCCAAGAACAATGCGGTCCCGTATGAGACTGTCCGCCATGCATTTACAGAAACTGCAGGATCGGGCCAAAATCTTTAGCTCAGTGACGTACGTGTCAACGGATTCACCTGGCCGCCTGTTCCGCGAAAAGAAGAGGTAGCGTTGAAATGTCTCGTTTGTTTGGCCTTCGCAGTATTCACTGAACTTCTCAAGAACTGTCTCCAGATTGTTGGCATCTTCGCTCTTGTCGTAACACAATGTCTCTAGCACGCGGCGCGCATCATCTCCTGCTGCGTGTCGAAACATGGCCAAGCGGTACGCCATCGGTTGTTTGTCCAGACGCGATAAAGTGCAGAAATCCATCCATTTGCTCTTCCACAAACGCCAGTTGCTTGCCAAACTGCGTTCATCCATGTTCAGCGGGGCAGGCATTTGAATAGCCGGTGCAGCTCCAATCATCGTCTGGGTGGTACTAATGTTCTTCTCCTTCTCTGACACCATGTAAAAAGTCGGTCCTTCAGGGACAAAACGTATATTCTGCAAACAACAGGACCAGGCGAAAACGCAGGCAGAGGGCGAGTGAAACATATCGGTATATACAGCTAGTTGGATCCATAATTAACGACCTTTGTGAATGCATGACATTTTTCCTTTGATTCAGTCAAACAAACTCACTCCAATGCGTCCAACTGTTGGCCAATCAGCGTGCATGCGAGAAACGTGTGAACGTCCAATCAGCTGCCGCCTTTCCTTGCGGCAGCCTAACGGCTTCCTTGGAAATAATCAATGCGTGCGGTGCTTCACTACGCGTTTTCATGGAACAATGCGTTAGTTATTGGTGGGTGTGGCCGAATTACCTATTATCTGCAGTTGATCGGCCTTAATGATGAGGTTAGCATCAGCATCTGCATAGCAATGCATGATATACTGCAATGAGCTTTGCGGAAGGGTACCGCGTTAATTGTGATAAGGCTACTGGGTTGGCAACAGCTTGCATTTGTTGGTCTATACGCAATCGTTAGTATATTGCAGCCGTTGATAGGGTGAACGAATATGTTTGTGAAGAACCGTCATGAGGTCGTGTGAAACGAAGATGAAACGCTGATCTATGTTACGTGAGCGCACACCTCATCAGGGTACCAAAATGCGACGCACTGGAATATGGGGAAACGCTATTTGACTGAAGAGATTAATCTGGGGAGTGGCCTTAGCTTAAGGTGGAAGAAAAATCAAAAGTAAGACATTGCGTCGTACATTGTTTTAGCTCGGGTTTCTGTTGGAAGTAGTTACCTAGGAACATGGGGTTATCCTTAATTTGTCCGTGTCCACTATTTGATACATAGTACTGGCAAACTCCAATATTTGACCAAAAGTTGTTGGTATCAAGTGGATGGCACATTTGGAACATAAAAGTGGATACGAAAAGCTAGTTTGTGAGGAATCTGAAATCGCGCACCATGGAGTGGCACATCACCATTTCTTGACTGCTCTGTTTGCAAGAAAGCTTAGCTTCCAAACCTATATTTCGTCAACCGGCGGACACAGATGGGACACAGCACTACAATCCCGGTCTCTGTGTTTCACAGAGATAAGGCCATGTGCACAGAGAAGGAAGTTGGAAACGCCGCTTGCAGGTAGACAGTAATGTACTGGCTGAATAGTGGACACCCGAAACCGTTAGTGAAACACCTGTTTCACAATATTCTAAAACCACATTGAAAATAAGCAGCGGAATGGATTGGGACGATAAGAATATTATAGGTAGAAGGAACTACTTTTTCCTTTCCCACGGTGCAACTGAAGGAATAACATTCGGGATCCGTTCAACAGGGTGTAGCTAAAATACACACTTCTCGTAGGTAAGATGACTAACTGCATTCACAAACGTATTCGCAACAACTGTGAATATGCGTGTATAGGACATACCGCGAGCAAACTGCACACAACTCTGCTAGAACACAAGCGCATGTCATGGTGACGTCTACATATAATGCTCTACTGTGAGATTCTGCGGTGGCGACGCATGTGTTAATTACAGTACATGTAAGGTGGCCAGATTATTAGTGAGCCAAAGTGAGACACTTCCAGTTTTCCTGCCCCCAAATCGGGACACTTAACCTACCCCCGTTCGTTTCTGCATATGCAGACCGTACAACAAATTGAAAAGATAAATATCTACATTTATTGCTTCAATGCTATAACAAAAATGACTTACCTTATTAGTCAGCGCAATGGCTGCGCTACTGAACTGCTCAATAAATAAATAAATGGTATATTCTCTATAAAAGGAGGCACACAAGTGAAGGCATGCTTAAATACACATACAAGCATAGGGGCTTTGAAATAGTACAACATGGTGTTTGGAAAAGTAATACCAAACTTTTCGTAGTTTATACACTTGAGAAGTTCGTCGGATAATAGTGGGATCCAGAAAGTTTACGGCACTGGTTCGCGAAAAAATCAAGCCTACTACTATGGTGGCATTAGCTAACTTTCGGAAAGATTTCGCCATGGTTTCATGAGCACAGGAGCCAAAATAAAATGTCGGCACAAGTGTTTCCGATTTAAAGTTGATGTGCTGCTTGACATGATATTATCTGGAACCACAGTTATTCAGCAATACTTAAATAAATAAAGAAATGTTTTATTTTCGACAGCGCGAGACACGTCTGCAATGGCATGATCATGCTGATGCAACAAGGACTGGTTAATGTAAAAGCGACATAAGTTTGTAAATAACATATGGATCCATGCGTTAAGTGTGCATAAATGCATGTAGGTAAGAACCAGTGTTGTTGTGTCGCTTGAATTTGTGAATGTGACGCCGTATTTGTGATTGTTTTCGGTCAGGCGTAAGAAGGAGAGAAATGCAATCTTCGTGTTGGATGAGTCACCTCCGTGGATTGGGTTAGATCATCCAGTTACGTAAGAAGCAGCGACTTTAGTTAGCGGCGTCACATCCGCCAATTCACGGTGTTGTTAAACGGACATTTGTGGCTTTCTGTAGAAAAAACGCTTGCCAGGCGAAAACCCATCATACCCTGAAACACTACGGCCGGACAATTTGCTGGAAACGGGTACACCAAAACCAACCAGCTGACACCACGAGGAAGTGTTCGGCTAGCCAGATGAATGTATTTTTCATAGTAGATCTTGGCGCTGCATCAGCATATCGTGAAGTAATTCGCATAGATACCCGGTGCTCTTGTCCTCAGAACTGCATTCTACCATAAGTATCGCTTTCAGAGTTTAAACGCAAAGCTGTGTTTTCCAGAATCTACGTCGATTCAATGTGGACAAATGTACAGTGCTGCATCTACGGCACAAGTTGGTTCATTCCTACAAACTTGGCAACCAGGAGCTTCAAACGTCTTCTGGAGAGAAGGATCTGAGCGTGTTTGTCCAGGTTGACCTTGGATGCACGAATCAGACTGAAACGGCGTCAAAGAGAAGCTTCCAACAAGTGGTCCTCCTGAAGCGTGTACTCGGACGATTCGACCCTTCGAATTTTTCCACAACTTCTCGGCTCATACATATGGGCACATGTGGAATACGTAATACAGGTTTGGTAGCTATGGCTGAGGACAGATTTCACCGCCTTGGAGATAAACCAACGCTGGGTAACCAAAAACATCAACGGTCTGTATAATTAGCCGTATTAACGAAGGCTTCGAGTGCTCAGGGTCTTTAGCTGTGTGCTAGGACGCATCGCATCCTACAGTGACTAAGCTAACATGTCGTTTTGACGTCTGCGCGTGCGTCGCGTGTTTTGTTAAGTGGGCGCATATCCTAACCGCTTCACCAACCGATGCAGGTGTTCTGAGTACACGTGCACCGCTTTGCAATTGGTCACGACGATGGGCACGGATTTTTGTGTTGCGCCCAATTGGTTTCAACTTGCTATGCTTATAGTCTGATTTGAATATTCTTATGGAGGGACATGATTCCGTTATGGATTCAGTTTATTCGGAAAACTTATGGATGACAGGTATGATCCCAGCGTCCACGTTACGCCTCACACGTCCATGAAAAGATCACGCTTGAAGGTAATAGCCAAAGTGCACACGAACCATAGGGCCATGGACGAAGCAACTCGTTTCTGGCATCCCGAATGTACAACAATTCCTTATTTGTAGATCAGACAGCAAGTGACAGAAATCGTCGCAGTTATCACAAATCTACTGCATGCCAAGTGCTTTAGACAAAGCATGAATTTACAAACAGACGGTAAGCATAGTGTGCCCACGAATAGCTTGTGAATTTGTTAAGTATTTTTGGGTAGTCTTACGGTTAAGAGCATTCAGACCTTTACGCGAAAGTGTCAAAAGTTACTTGTAATAACAGAAGAGCAAAATGTACTGGTCAAGGACTTGGGGGGGGAGTTACTGAACGCTAGCTGCCGGTTAGGTACTACTTATCTCAAATTCCAGACCAGTCGAAGGACTAAAGCTATTCAGCAAATCAGTACACAGTTCAAAGAAAAATGGCAGTAAAACAAG